AAAACGGGCCTGAAGCCGGAGCAACACTACAGTGGGTAGGTGCTTGCCTTGCATGCAGCTGACCCGGGTTTGAATCTTTGCACCCCATATGGTCCTCCAAGCCCTGCCAGGCATGATCCCTGAGCACCACCGGGTATGGCCCAAAACCAAAAAAAGAATCTGCATTTGACTGGTTGTTTTTTGGCTAGTATGCACTGGGGCCACTTGGAAAAATGGAAACTATTTTCTGTTCTGGCATTGAACATCAGGTATCATCTCAGTACATTGGCAAATGTTTCCAAAAAAACCAGCTCAAAAAAACAAGGCAAGCTGTGCCCCCCAGTGTCAAAATGGAACAGAAGGAGAAGCTCAGGCAGTAGCAAAAGCAAGACTAAGAGAGCAAAGGCATTTGTGGATAAGTACTGGCGATGGATGGGGTGGAGGGTTGCAGTTGCGTAACATTTACTCTTCCATACAACAGCGTCAATATTTTCCAGTCTCATTGCATATTTAAGCTATATTTGCCAGATGTCTTAATTATAAGATAATTGATGTCTCTGTCAGAAATAATTGTCAGATGTAGAAGGAACAACGCTGCGCAAGAGGCTTTGCTTGCACACAACTGACCCACATGTGGTCCCCAGCACCCAGCCCCCGAGAGTGATCCTTGAGCACAGAGCCAGGAGTCAGCCATGAGCACAGCCATTGTGGCCCAAAAACAAACACAAAGTACAGATTGTCCCATCTCTTCCCATTGGTTTTTAGTCGGAGTCTAGGAAACAATACCTTGAACAAGTGTTTGCGGTGGTTTTGATGGACGCTAACGTAGGCAAAGACAGGAAGCTTCTTAGTATCGACAGGTTATTTTAAACTTACACCTTACTTGGAATTTTCTTGTGTGTACAGTAGCTATAAAGTATGGTTAATATTAATGTTAGCAAACTTAGGATTTTAGAGTTAATAATCTTTCTATTTTCTGTGGCAGTTTCCTGTGCAGTACTTAAGTTTATCAAGCCTTGTCATGTGGAAGCCTAGACACAGAGTCAGCAGTCCCCTCTCTTTTGATTCTCACGTCCCTCCTTTTACTGTTTTTTTACGTTTATTTCCTCTCAGAAAATACTGCCATGAATTATCGATGTTTTTATCCTAGAAAACATTAATTTCCTTGTTAGGTGTAAAATATGAAATGTATTACCAGGGCTAAGGTACTTGCCTTTCATGGGGCAGACCCTGGTTTGATCCCCAGCACCACAAGCCCCCAGATGTGTGCGCTCGCTTGCTCGCTCTCTACCTCTCCCCCTTTCCCCCTATCTCTCCTTCTCTCCTCCCCCCCTCCTCTTTTCTGTCTTCCTCTCCCTCTTCTTCTCCCTCTCCTCATTTTGCTTCCTTTGAGCCCTCATCCAAGTCAGCTTCATTTGGCCCAACCATGGCAACATGTTCCACTTGGTTCTTCTGTTTTGAGGTTTTTGGGTTCTGGTTTCTAGCCACACCCAGTGTTTTCAGGGACGACTACTGGCACGATGTTTGGAGGGTTGTTCGTGCCAGGAGTCATGTCTGGGCCTCCTCCTATCCATAGAGCCATCTCCCTGGCCCTCTGCTTGGTTCTCATAGGAACTTGGATTTCTGTGCTTGCTCTTAAACTAGGAAGGATATCTTCCCACTCAATAATTCATTACCTTTTGGTCATTCTTTAGTCATTAAGGAACTTTTTGTATTTTTCTCTGCTCAATTTTTCTGAATACTTTTACCCTGCCACTTTAGCAGTTACTACAATGAGAGTTAAAAGATTTTGAGTTTATAGAACTGAAACAAATATGCAGTATTAAGATATCTTGATATTCTATTTTGCATTCCCATCAAAGGTGTTTTTTAGTTTATAGATGACTAGTTCTTACTAGGACATTCTTTTTTTGGTTTTTTTTTGTTTTTTTTTTGTTTTTTTTGCTTTTTGGGTCACACCCAGTGATGCTCAGGGGTTACTCCTGGCTCATGCACTCAGGAATTGCTCCTGGCGGTGCTCAGGGGACCATATGGAATGCTGGGAATTGAACCTGTGTCGGCCATGTTGGCTGCATGCAAGGCAAACGCCCTACCCACTGTGCTATCACTCCAGCCCCCAGGGACATTCTTAATATGTTAGATACTTGTGCTTTCTAATTCTGTCTTTATTCCAGTAATGGATGTTTTTTTGGAGGGAGGTTGGGGGCACACCTGACAATGCTCATAGCTCTTTGCTCTTGTAATTCACTCCTGGTGGGACTGTCTATAATGGGATGCCAAGGATCTAACCCAGGTCGATGACATGCAAGTTTCTGCCCACTGTACTCTCTCCAGCCCCAGGAATACATATTCCTAAGGAATATGTATTCATCTAAAAATACTGAGAGCAACCTCAAAGTACTGAAGCTGCTTCTGAAGCCATCTTTGTACAGTTTGAATTGTTCATAGATTATATGCATAGGTCCAGATATCTTAAAAGAAAATGCCTTTTCGTTTTACTGTTTTATATTCTAATAATATATAATTAGAATAGAAATTATTTGATTTTTAAAGCGCGCACACACACACACACACACACATATAGATATATATGCTTTAACAATCAATTCCTTCTCCCTCCCTTCGTAATTGGCTGTGGTGCCTGGTCCTCCCACTGTGGGTCCCCCTCAGATGCACACCCTTTGTCCCGCCGCAGCTGGAGTTTCAGTGTACATGTTTTGGCTGTTGTGCCGAGCCAGGGTCACTGGGTTGTTCACTCAGGTGCTTGCCAGGGCTTGCACTTTCTGCCATGGTGCTTTTAGTGCTTTTTCCTTGAAGTATTTGCTGGGATTCCAGACAACAGAACTCCAGTATTGTCCCTGGAACTTGTGGTGGCCCCGGGAAACAGACTTAATGACCATCAGCTTGCAAGGCACGCTGCTTTTCCTGCTCCCTTTTATTTTCTTCCCCTCTCCCCTAAGTGCTCTCCACTTGAGCTGTCGCCCAGCTTGTAAAACACTGCTTTCAAAATTTTCTTCTGGGCCCCAAGTCTTAGATACCGTATAATAGTACTGTACATCATCTGGTATCCCTCAGTTCATGCAAAATGACTTCAAAAGTGTCTTAGTTGATTTGTTTGATTTCATATATTACAAGACCCCCACCAGGCAGTGCTCAGAGACCACCAGGTCCTGCCCTGCAGTACTCCATGACCAGGAGGGGTACTAAATGCGACAGGACCTTGAGCTACCACTTGAGCTACCTACTCAGCCCTTTGCTTATAATTCTGGACTGTTCTGTTTATCCAGACCCTATTTCCATACAGAAATCCCCCTGCCCTGAGTTCTGAGCGCTTACATACGGTCTGGCGGTAGTTGAGTCTGCCAGTACAAACATGTGCGAGACACGACAGGCGTTTCTAGGAAGGAGAGAGCTGGTCAGCTGTAAACCTGAGAACAGAGCTGATTGCTTTTCTCTCTGAAGAAGAGAACAGTGATGATTTCCAGTGGCCTGCATGCCTGCTGGTGTCTCCTGTTTGCCTCACAGACACATTCCATTTTGACCTTCTGCCTGTTTTAGTGCGCTATCATACATATCATCTATAGTCTGAGGGAGGTCTCAGGGCAGCTGGCAGGGCATAAGAACAGGTGTCAGAGAAGTCAACCCCACAGGGCTGGAGCAATAGTACAGCGGAAAGGATGCTTGCCTTGCACACGGCTCACCCGGGTTCGATCCCTGACATCTCATATGGAACCCCAACATAGTCAGGAGTAATTCCTGACTGCAGAGCCAGCAGTAATCTCTGAGCATCGTTGGGTGTGACCCAAAAAGAAGTCAGCTCTCAGCACTTACGCTGTCTAGTCTTTGAAAGATGGGGATTGTGGCCAGAGAGATGCTCAACGTGCTTTGCTTGCTAGTGCTCTGGGCTCCCTCCTGTCTCCTCATGGTCTCCCGAGCACTCAGTCAGGAGTGACCATTAAAAACCACCTGTATGGCGTCCACACCCACCCACCAGTCCCCTAGAAAGTGGGGGTTTTATTTGCATGGGATCCGGGGTCTGGAAAGGTTGGTTTTTCACTCTGTATCCTAGTCTTACTTTCTCCTGCCCCTCATCCCAGTGTTGCTTTCTCCTCCTCCTCTTCTCTGAGCAGGCAGTGGAGTCATCAGGTGCTTGAGTTTGGCATGGGACACAGGTATTGGCAACAAGAGTCATTATGCTCCTCTTAACTCTTTCAGCCACAGTGAGGTGCAAACCGAAACTGTATCTGTACGTTCCTGAGACTCTCCGGTTCCTCCTTTACATCAGACCTTTCTCCTTGACTCTGTTTTTAAGATTGACGTTTTTCACACATCAGGGGTGGTTTGCCAATTTCAGACCATTTTGTCCATTTGGATTTCTAGAAGAAAAGGGACTCTCCTCTGAGTGACCTCATTCTTTCTATCCGTCCTCTCTCCTGCCTGCTATTGCACCACTTCCACTGAAACTACCATTTCAGAAACCACATTCCTACCCTGGAGAACTGCTCATTTCAGAAAGCTCCTTTTACCGATGCCTTGTGGTGTGGACCAGGAGTGTAGCTCAGTATTGGAGCTCTTAACCCTGCATGTGCAAGGTCCTGGATTTAATTTCTGCACCAAAGGAACAATCAGAGTACATGTGCAGTCGAGTTTCCGTTAAAGTGGCTGTTTGATTTGGAAATGGACTTTCAAATCTAGTTCACTTTGGGGTTTATGTCTCAGTCCTTACCATGTAAAATTAGACTATCAGACATAAATGTGCATTAAGTGGCACGTTCTAAAATACTTTATACAAGCTGTTTCGTTAGACCATGCAGGAGAACCACACCGTTGGAAGCCTGTGCCTGAGCTCAGGGCTGAACTCTGCTGCCTCCGGTGTGTGGGCCGCAGGCCTGTTTCAGAGACGGTGTGAGTGGCGGCGTGGCTCCGGGTCAGCACGCGGGCTGCCCCTTCAAGATGCTCAGCCAGAATGATGCCTGGTCAGCGTTCGTCTATTAAATCTGCTCTCTTTATTTTTATTTCAGATTTGTCCAATATGTGCAGCATTGCCTGGAGGCGACCCTAATCATGTCACGGATGACTTTGCAGCTCATCTTACACTTGAACACAGAGCCCCTAGAGATTTAATATCCTTTCAAGAGACAACAAGGGAGTTGTCATAATGTTCGCTGTTCGCTGTGTTTTCTTTTCTTTTTTATTGTAGGGGCCATACCTGGCAGTGCTCAGGGGCTGTGCGGTGCTGGGAATTAAGCTCAGGCTCAGACATGCTGGGCTTGTGCTCTGTCACTCGAGATAGTCCCCCGGCCCCATTTTGTTTAAGGACCCACAGAGGACAGTCCTGGCCTCGAAATCATAGAATTTCTTTGACCTGCTGAAAGGTGACTGACTCAGTGTGGAGAGACAGTTTCTTTTTTATCTTTGTTTCTGAACTGTGCTTATTAAATGCAAGCACTCACTCATCACCTTTAGTTCATTATAAGCAAATGTTTAAAAGATAGATTGACCAAGTAATAAACCTCCAGGATATTTCATTCAAAGGAAGAAAATGCTCAGCCAAATCAAGCTCTAATTAAATACAAGGATTTATTTGCTTCCCTTCCTGTTCCTTGATGCCTGGCCCCACCTCAGGTCAGGTGTGGTGGCAGGTGTAAGTTTCAGGGCTCCTTCCTCTCTGGGGTTCCCTTCAAGAGCCGTTTCCTGCTCACTCTCTCAGGGAGAGAACTTAAGGTCACGTCCAACTCTGAATCCTCTTCTCACTGTTATTTCAGTTTCCCTCCCCAGCCGTGTTTCTCTGCAGTTCCTGGCAGTGTCCTCAGTCTCCAGGACCTCTGACCCACCAGAGCTAGTGCTGCGGCAGACTCTGTTTCTGGTTCCAGAGTATGAATCGTTTTCCTCTAACTCCCACCTTTTCACCCAGGGTTGTTCTTACGGAAAGGTTTCCATGTTCATTGTGATTCGAAGCAGTGAGGAGCTGGTCAGAACTCTCTTTTTGCCAGATTTTTTTTTTTTTTGAGGGGCAGTGGGGTCCATACTCAAGGTTCTCAGGCAGTAACCCTGTGCTCAGGAGTGACCCATGGCAGTGCTTTTAGGGGACCGTGTGTGCAGTGCTGGGGGATCCAGTTGGGATCAGTCGCATATGAGGCAAGTAAGTGCCTTAACCCCTGCACTGTATTTCCAGTCCTTCTTTGACAGACTTTATTCTTTTTTATTTGATTGCCTCCTCATATTATAATTCAACCCATGGCTTATTAAGGAAACAGTTTTGGTAGTTTTCTTTACAACCTATCCCTGTTGTAAAAATCCCTTACAGAGATTTTATATAGGAAATATGACCCTGGGGAGTTAGGAAGAGACAAGTTGAAACTAATGGAAAGATAAAGCTCTGAAACCATCCTAAGAAATTAGAGGGTTAGTCCGAGCTGTGCTAGTGTAGGGACTAGTACTCAGTGAATGGAGGAGACTACTCGTCCACATAGAAACCCAGCGATAACTCAGAAGGCTAGAGCACATGTCTCGCATGCAGGTGACTGCATGCCAGCCCAGCCACAGTGTCACTGGGTGGGACCCTGGAAGGATCTGAGCAGTACTGTAGCCGTCCCAGCCGTGGTGTGCTGGCTATCTCAGTAGTCCCCGGGTCCTAGCATTGCTTGGGGAACTCATAATTAATATAAATAATACGGTATTTTTTTATTACTCTTGCAAAAGAATGATGTAACAGTACCCCCAAAGGGTTATATTTAAAGCCGTGTTTCACAGAGAAGCTCACAAATAATTAAAAACCATGCCCATATCCTGAGTTTGCAAGATAGGAATGAGGGGACACCCTTCCTCACTACTGTCTCTGGCCCAAATTGGTGAGATTGTAAATGCTACTGGTTACAGGGAGAAATTTTAACTAGCTCAAATGCATTTGTATAGAAACTTAACAGAGAGATAGAAGCAGACAGGCAGACAGACTTCACTAAACTTTTTTAACCACCAGAGTTGTTAAAACTTTTTTTTAAAATGGAATTCATCCTAAATGCAATTAGCATCCAGTTATGTTTTTCTTCTTTTTTCTTTATTGGTTTTTGAGGGTTTGTTTTGTTTTGTCGTGCCAGGGATCAAAATCCAGGACCTCACATGCAAGCGAAGTGCTTCCCAGCTGAGCTAGAGGCCTGGCACCTCAGCTTTAAAAAACAAAGTACAGATCCAGGAAAGTGGCTCAAAGGGCAGGAGTGTGGGGAGCCGGTCCCCACCAACCGCACACACACCTGAGCACTGCCAGAGAGGAGGGGTGGGAAGTCAAAGCGATCACAGTGTCACCTGGTATAGGTCCCATGTGGACATGAACAGCGTGGCGAAACAAGGTGGCTTACCATATCCCTATGTGATTACAAACTAAACCAAAAACTGGGGCAACTGGGGGGAGGGGCGGGTTTTAACTTGTATTTTATAGCTGTTCTGTTTGCTACTCCTTTGAAAGAAAAATCTGCTGTGATATCTGAGCCTCCGCTCCTTCCCTCCCCTGCACATTTGCCTGTGTGGAAACACACTGTGTGGTCCTCAGGAATTTTGCTGACCGTGTGCTCCTTGTACCTTCTTTAGTTTGAGCCATTCAAGATGGTTGAGGCTGCTGTGAAGTTGACTTTTTGGTAAATTTAGTAATTCCCTCTATCCATTTATGCAGAAAAATCAGTGATGCATCAGTTCTGAAAACGTAGAGATTAGGACCAGTAATCATGGGGAGTAACACGTGAATTTCTCACTCTTCAACCTTGAGATCAGGAGGAGAGCATGCCTCACCTTGCTGCTCTGATCTGTTGGCCTTCCAGGCACAGGCTTCCAACAGTGTGGTTCTCTTGCATGGTCCAATGAAACGGCAGTGCCAGCAGTATTACTGTAGGTCATTTTCCAGGGATGGGCAACAGTTTCTCTGCCAGGAGCCATTGGGATATTTGAAACACTATTTGTAGGCAAAGAGCCGAGGAGAAGCAGGGGTATCTGTCCCCATCCTGTACCAAGGCCAGAACACAGGATTTCACAGGCCTTACGGAGCCTCAGGCTAGACCTTTTCCATCCTCATGTAGGCTTGGGGGATAAGTTCTTCCAACTGAAGAAGCTTTATATCCCTTGGATAATCCACAGTGTACAAATACACTCATATGCTATATTTGCATCTATTTTTTTAGAATAGCCCTCCTTGATAGAGTTGTGATATTTACGTTTCAAGTGAAATGTGGTATTTTCAAGTATTTATGGTTTAGGAAATAGACATGTATCTTGCAAGGGTTTGATTGATTTTTCCCCCCCTTCTGTGAAATACTTGGGTTATTTTCTTAACTTTGGAGTTACGATGAATCGAGTGGTGTTCGACATGTACGTAGAATGTTTCACCCTGGCCGGGGATTAGGAGGTCCTCGTGCTCGTAGATCAAACATGCACTTTACTAGCAGTTCTACTGGTGGACTTTCTTCTTCTCAGAGTTCATATTCTCCAAGCAATAGGGAAGCCATGGATCCTATAGCTGGTAAGTTAGTTTTATATTAATAAAGGAAATAAATGGTGTATATGTTGGGAGGTGGGGAAAACTCCCTTTTTACTTTTTGATGACTTTTTTTTAAATCACACTCAAAAACCATAAAAGTTTTAAAGTATAAACTATTTTTTTAGTAGTTTGAAATGTCCTATTATTCCTTAGTTTAGCAGTGTAAAACAGTAAGAAGTAGCCTTCTATTCTAGTTGTGCCCTCCATTGAAACCCAGGAAAAGACCTCTAAAATTCTATGGTACAGCCTCTACAAAGTACAGCAAATAATGGGACCAGAACAATAATGCAGCTGGTAGGGCATTTGCCTTGCATGCAACCTGCCCAGATTTCATTCCCGGCATCTCATCCCCGGCATCCCATCCCTGGCATCCCCTATTGTCCCCCGAGCACCTCCTGAATTCAGAGCCAGGAGTAACTCCTGAGTATCTCCAGGTGTGCCCCCCCCCCCACCAAAAAAAAGTACAGCCAATAAGGAAAAAATATTTTTTTTCTTTTTGGGTTACACCCAGCAATGCACAGGGGTTACTCCTGGCTCATGCATTCGGGAATTACTCCTGACCATGCTTGGGGGGACCATATGAGATGCTAGGAATCGAACCCGGGTTGGGCCGTGTGCAAGGCAAACACCCTACCCATTGTGCTATCTTATCACTCCAGCCCCAAGGAAAAAACATTATTAACAAGAGTAAAAAAAGCTAAGATGGAAGAAAGTAGAGGAGAAATTCCCCTCTCCTTGCCTAGATTTGAGGACTATATTGTGAAGTGTGCTTATATGTGTATGTTTTAGTAGTTTTGGAAAATCTGACTTCAAAAACGACAGCATAGGACATAGACTTTGTTGCCACGGCACAAACATGACGTGGGAGGCCAGCAGCAGAGCGCGGGGGCAGGGCCTCGGTGTCAGGAGCCCAGCAGCATGAGAGTTGGAGAGCACAGGGCTGCTGGGCGTGGGGAGGATCTGAAGTGTGTGCACATGCTAGGGAATGGGCCCCTCCTAGGAGCCTTGCCGAGCACTGGAGCACTGGCCATGTAAAATCTCGGAGAGGAGTATAATCCTAGCTTGACTCATAAACTGTTCTTTGAAGTCTGAGATGCACAATGTAATGTCTTGATTCCAGATGTGCCTTGGTCATTTAGATGTGTGGCATGCTCAACAAGCTAAATTTTGGAGGTATAAAAAAGCATGCAGGGGGCCAGAGCAATAGTACAGAGGGTGGGGCACTTGCCTTGTACACGGCTGACACGGGTTCAATCCTCGGCGTCCCATATTGTCCCCTGAGTCCTGCCAGGAGTGATTCTTGAGCATCACCAGGTGTGGCCCCAAAACTTAGAATAATGTGCAGTGGTCAAAGAAATGATCCACATCTGTTGAATTTAGTTTTAACAATTCATTAAGTCATTCAGTAAATATTGCCTCTGATGTGTCTGTGAGTGTTAGGAGAGCCGGGAGTGTTGGACGCAGGCTTGATCCCTGCTTTCAAGGAGCTCATGTTGG